CTATGCAGTTCAGGCTGGCCTTGAGCTCACTGTGTAGCCCAGGCTGGTCTCAAAATTCTCAACAATGCTCCTGCCTCAGCCTCCTGAGTGCTGGAATTACAGGCATGTACCACCACACTACTGTCTCTGAACTGATAGCTTTGTCTTAATCATCTTTTCTTTCCCCCTTCACCAGGGCATTTTGAATCAGCACCAATTTCTCGAAGGCCCTAAGGGGACTGAAAACTCACGCTTTGGCTCTGCAATCGCAGTTCTTTCGGACATCAACATGGATGGCTATAATGATGTGATCGTGGGCTCGCCTTTGGAGAATCACAATTCCGGAGCTGTGTACATTTACAACGGGGATCAGGGCACCATCCGCACCAAGTACTCCCAGGTGATGGATGAGCTCCACAACACTGTATTTCCACATGACCAGCATCTTGCTCAAGCTAGAGAGCGCCATGCATGCCTGAGAACCCATCCCACTTATCTTATAAACTTCATTCACTCACTCAGGAGGATTTAGTGAGTCCTTATTATGTTCCAGGGATCGTGGATGCTATGAACTGTAGGAAGACAAAATTTTGCTCTTTATAGGCTCTGTATTCTAAAAGAAGGAACAAACAGAGAGCAAAAAGATAAGTAAGGTAAAGAGTTTCCACGTAGTAATAAAAGCTAAGGAATAAAAACAGGAAATAAAACTAAGATAGAGAACAACATTTCACAGGGGAGAGGCATCAGGTGACTAAGAAACCTTACCCGGTAGGCCTGCAGAAAGGAAGCGAGCTTAGCCATCACAGCTTGGACCACCATTGGCTCCATCGCTTTCACTCACCCTTTCACTGTTTTGTGGGGTTGTGCTTGCGAATTAAAGATTCGTACTGCTTTCCTGATGAAAACATGGCTGCAAAGGGGATATGGAGATCAGATATGATGGGATTCTCAAACATGGATGGAATGTTGTGGAGGATAAGGAGAGCCTGGGAAGCGACGTATGCTGAATGTCGCATGTCCACACAGAGCCTGCTGCTGGCTCTGTAATTTCATGTCAAACTTGCTTTTTCAGAAAATCTTGGGCTCCGATAGAGCCTTCAGGAGTCAGCTCCAGTTCTTCGGGCGATCCTTAGATGGCTATGGAGATTTAAATGGGGATTCCATCACCGATGTGTCCATTGGTGCCTTCGGACAAGTGGTTCAGCTCTGGTAAGTCAGCAAACGCCAGACACAAACTTACTGGCCAAAAATGACTGGCTGAGCTGCTGTTTGAGGGTGTCATGTGCAGTATAACAAATCATAGGAAATTGATGTATCATAGTTTATGTAAAGGAATCTATCTATCTAATTATAGAGAGTGAAGAAAACCTGGATTCTACTGTTGATCCAAATGACATACGTACATATATGTATTAGAATCCACTTTTTCTCCTCTATATGGTGAAATAAATACTGCAGAGAACACACACATCCTTGAAAGGATGTCCTATTTCTGAGTTTTATGTTCTTATTAACATCTTTCCCTTACAACAAGGAAGCTTTGTAAAACTGCACTAAACATACTGAACATTCAAATTACACAAGTAAGACTTCCTGTGTGGCTAAAAGGTATATTTGAAAATTATTAGTCATGAACAAGAAGCCATTGTTCAGGGTTATCCGACCTCTCATTGACCTCCGTAGGCGTTGAAGCGGGGGAGAAGAGGGGCAGCAAAGGCCATGTGATTCAGAGCCAAAAATACCCACATGGACTGGGGAGGGAATGGAATTAGAATGAAGCTGATTATTCAGTTAAGAGTCCCATCCATTTATCCATCTGTACTAAAAATGCACCTTAGGTATCCAAATATATCAAAAGCAGAAAAAAATAAAAAAGCAAAAAAATGTTTATTGATGTTTTCTGATTTCTGAGTTTCATGATGCTATTCACAAACCTCAACCATGCTTTTAATGAATAAAATTCAATACTTTTGTTGCAGAATGAAACTACTGCAGTATGTGGAAAAAATAATTCAGGAATATTTAAAACTGTAAAAAACAAGAAAATATATTTTATGAATAAAATTAGTTAAAATCATGTGAGAATCACACACCAATGATAAATGCAAAATGTGACATAACTACATGGCTTTTTTTTTTGTTTTTTTGTTTTTTTAAATTTTATTTGTGTGTGTGTGTGTGTGTGTGTGTGTGACCAGCTCAGCCCACCAGGGGGCGGGGCTAGCTGGCATGTGGTGCTGGGGGATTGAACCGCGGTCCCTGTGCTTTGCTAAGCTTGTTCTAAGTAGGTGCCTTAGACCACTGAGCCATCTCACCAGCCTCATACATGGCTTATTTTTAAATGATATAATAAAAAATATATCTCAAGGAACATCTTGGAAGGCAACACATGTGGTCGACTATACTTATGAAATGGCACTCCTTTCGAATATAGTCTCTTTGAATTTAAGACATTTTTAAAATTGAAGACATGGGAAATCAAGTTGGCATCCTGAGCCGACAGTCGAGTCAGGTTATTATTGTTTTCTGACTACTTTGCTATAAGCTGCTGAGGCTGGTTTTATGGGGTAATTCCCTAAGAATAATTTTCTAACTAAATGTGGAGAATATGAAAACCAGTGACATCTCTCTTGGAGTCAGTACTTAGTCTCTCAAAGAGAGAGCTTCAAGGAAAACATCCACTGGCGCATTTCAGATCTTAGAAACCTGCGGACATGATGCGTGTGTGATTGCGTGTTTCAAGACTGCTTCTTAGGAGGCCTGGCAGACACACAACAGCCATTGAAATAATCGTTGAGTTTCAGGTGGTACCTGAAATTAAGAGGAGATGTGACCTGTATCTTCTTGTGCTTTTCAAAAGAATAACGTGCTAATTACTACTTGGCTCTGTGTAAGCAGCTGAAGGGGCGTGTGGAGGTTACTAGGAGGAGGTATGAGTTCTACCATGCAGGACTCAAGAGGCTGTAGGTTCTAACTTTCCACTGGCAAGCCACCAAGTGTCAGAGTCTCAGACTTTCACTGATAAAATGGAGATAGCATGTGTCTTCCTATTTCACAAAAGAGTCATAAGGAGCAAATGACGCCCTCTATTAGACAGTACATGGCTGCCCAGGGTCAGCGCTCAGCTCCGTAGCACCCTGCTGGCTGCACTCCTCCTCAAACTAGCTGGCAGCATTAGGGCCGGAAGCCACCTTTCAGTGTGTTTCTGCCAGTGGAGGCAAAGCCACAACCGTACTTCGCAGCTGCGCCACTCCACGTTCCTCCTTCCCTCTCCCTTGCCTTTGCGGGAGAACAAAAAAATCACCCTGCTAGGTGCCCAGACTCCCTGAAGCCGCACTTTGGAACCTCACAGAAGAGCCTGCAGATCTCCGTCCTGCGCTCATGCTGATTTAATGGCAGTATTCCACGTGGAGTGTGCCAGTGACTCAGTCATAGACATGGAAGGCGTAGTCTCAACCTGCTGTTTTAGGGTGCTCTGAGAGAAAGTGCTGCCAAAGGGTTTGCTCAGAGAGAAAGGCGTGCTAGTGCTGGCATTGGGTCCTCCACGTCCTGGTCAGGCGTGTGCCCGGTACAGATATCCATGGACCTGTTTTCTCTTCTGTCTTTCAGGTCACAGAGTATTGCTGATGTGTCTGTGGAAGCTTCCTTCAGTCCAGACAAAATCATTTTGCTCAACAAGAATTCTCAGATAGCCCTGCAACTCTGCTTCAGGGCGAAGTTCAGACCTACGCGGCAGAACAGCCAAGTGGGTGCGTGGCCTGCGCTAACCGGACAGGGATGGGTCAGAGTACAGTCGTGGCCCTGAATGCAAGCTGTGTCTCGGCTTTCTTTGTGGACACTTAAATTGTCACACCCTTGTGGTGCCTAAGAAAGATTCGCGAGGCTGGTGATGTGTGCTTAGATCCTTCTCCTGCATCATCTCTGGAAGGCGACGTCCTGTAGCACGTTGCCATCTCTGTGGCCAATCACGGGCTCTCTCAGCCATACTCTTTGAGTCTGTCTTACCCACAGACCCCTTCGGGCTCAGCACCCGACCCCGACTTCTCTGACCCGCTGCCTCTGCTAAGCGAGCCTCCCTCTACTGCCTGTGGCATGATCCTGGGAGGATGTAGCTGGTATCAAGCACTGCTCCTGTGCCCGAGGAGCGGAGGAGCAGGAAATAGAGGAAAACAAGCTATGATTCATGTGCATTATTTTAAATTTTCTAAAAAATCCAGAAAAGTGAGTAAAAGCCAAAACAGTATCTGCCCGAGACAGAAGAAATCAAGGAAGCACTGGGGGCAGAAGCCTGTAGGAGCCATCCTGTCTCTCAGGGGCTGGTCAAGCCATATTCTATACCCTGGCTGAGGTGCCGCGTCCTCTTTGAAGCTTTAGCCAACCCTTCTCCCTCACCTTTGGCCCGTTCCCCAGTACTGGGCAGCCTCTGTAGGCGGTGTGCGGCAAAACCCTGGACCCGAAGCATCCTTTCCTCCTGCTGTTGCTTCTTGCGTTCCAAACCCCTTTCTATCAGATGTCCGCTCTAGACTTCGGCACTGTAACTGCTACAGGAACCTAAGTAAGCGACCAACAAATGCAGTGACTTAAACACTGCAAATATTCTGTTAGGTTTGCCAGGATTTATAGCAAAAAACTACATGAGAGCCTTAAGGGGAAGTTGGAGTCTCAGTTGGCGTAATTTCCGCGTTTGCCTACCTCTCTGTCCATCTGGAAGTCTTCCTGTCAAGTGTTCAGGTGCTGACCCACTTTGGAGTAGTAGACATGACTGACCTGACCCAAAGCACACATTCATCTGAGCAGACTTGACAGTTAAGTCGAAAACCACCACTGTATAAACACTGAGTTACTGGTCTGCCTAAAACATTAAATTAGAAAAATATATTAGTCGGCAGGGGCGGCTGGCTGCGCGGCTGGCCTGGCCCGAAGCGTGCTGAGGCACGGCGTAGCGTCCATATTTTGCCTGCACCTCAATCTCTTCTGTTGTTCTACACACGGAACTTCCACTTTTGGAGACTTTTCCTTCCTACCAGCTGCCTTTCTCCCTGCCGAGCACTCCTGTCCCGAGTCCTCGCCTCCGAGGCCTTCAGGGCCACACAGACAGGATCATCTGTTGCTGAAGTGCTTGGCCGTAGCAATGCAGAGAGACCTGAGTCCCTTCTGCATAGCTGTGCGAAGCGACTTGGGAAAGCGCTGGTTTCTGCGTCTGTATCTATTGGGCATCTGTCTCATCAGGCATGGTCTGAGCTCCTTGGCTGTTGTGGGGGGACAGCACCTGACACCTGCCATCAGGAGGACAGGTTTCTAGTGGCACACAGTTTGTAGTCAGGTGACTCCAGGGCAGGGCAGAGTGACAAAGGGGGTGGTAGAGGAGAAGCAGGTCCTGGGATGCCTGAGAAAGGTAGAGCAAGAGGAAGGGAGGAGGAAGGGGGAGAGGAAGGGAGCTAGAACCTTTCAGGCCTCCCCCAGTGGCCCAGCCCCCCAAAGTGGGCTTCACCCCCCAACATTATGTCCAGCTATAAACGCGTCCATGGACTGACCCCTGCTGATCACCACACCCGGAGGCGCAGTCCCCTCCCACAGCCCCACTTAGGAGCATGGCAGCCCATGCGTGACATCTAGACAGGAACCAGAGCGGCACTAACCCCAATCTAAAGCTAACATTGCAGATGCATACGATGCCTATGAGATTGCACATCAGTTTCACCAGGCTGCTTTTTAAAAAATTAGACAGTAGTATGATTTGTGCTAATTCTGGCCTAACTACACCCGCATGCCTATCAGTGTGTTCCTTTGTGTCATTGGTACTGCTTGTTTTTGGTTTGTGGGGCTCTTCCAGGTCTCATCCATGTTTATGGCACTTATAAAGTCTGTGTAGCAAGAAAAATTATGCAAAAGTATATAGTATCTCTAATAGATATTGAAAAGTAACATATACTTAGCCTTAAAATATTAGAAATAACAAAATATAACAGAGAAACGCAAAGAAGTTCGTTGCTGCTAGCACAGCAGCGGATAGTCTCTAAATGGTAGACACATGGCTGCTCAGCTGCAGCTGAAGGTAAACAGTTCTGATGTCTGGGCGTGGCCCCTCTCAGCGATTGTTATTAGTTTTAAAATTTTAGTTTCCCTGGATGGACTCTCTTAGTTGATAGGTGAAGAAACAGAGAGTCACAGAAGTTAACTAAATTGCTCAAAGTGCCAAAGCTCAGAGACTGCCAAGTTAGGATTCCATCCAAGTCTGACTCAGACCTCCTTGCTGGAATGTTT